AAAACATTAAAAATGGGAGCTGCCTTTTGACCCAGTGATCCCACTTCTAGGAATGTATCATAAGAATCCTGAGACACTAATCAGAAAGAATATATGCTCCCCGATGTTCATAGCAGCATAGTTTACAATAGCTAAGATCTGGAAACAGCCCAAGTGCCCATCAGGAGATGAGTGGATAAAAAAGCTGTGGGACATTCACACCATGGAATACTATGCAGCTGTAAAGAAGGTTCTTGTACCCTTTGGGACAGTATAGATGGACCTGGAGAAAATTATGCTAAGTGAAATAAGCCAGGCAGAGAAAGACAAACATCACATGATCTCACTTATATGTGGAATCTAAAGAACTTAGTAAACTGATGAACAGAATAGATTCAATGACATGGAAGCACAGATGAGACTGACAAATGTCAGAGGGAGGGAGGAGAGTGGGTGGGTGGAGGGGGAGAGATTAACCAAGAATTTATATGCATATATGCACAACCCAAGGACATGGACAATGGTGGGGAGGGGGACTGGGGAGGAGGGTGGGATGGGGTAGAACGGGTCATGGGGAGATAAAGGGACATTTGTAATATTTTAAATAAATTAAAAAAACTATTACAAACAATAAACAACAACAAGAACAAGTAAGTACCCTAGAGCCTCAATATATGATTGGATGACAAATTAATTTTCCCTTGAGCAGATATATAAATTCAAAATAAAGATAATCCCTACAGAGAGTGCTATCACAAAACCTGAGTTTTTACTTTATTCATTTAAATATAGATAATCCTTGCAACTGGCTAGGAAAGGGACTGTGTTCTTTTTTTTTTTTTTTTTTTTTAATTTTTTTTTTTTTTTTTTAGAGAGAGAGNNGGACTGTGTTCTACTGCCCTCTCCAATTGCCCCTTTCCCTCCACACTCCCCTCCTCCAAAGAGTCGAGTGCTGGGTTTCCAAAGCTCCACACTACTGGTCTTGAACTTAAACTACTTCTGATCTACAGTTTTTAAAGGTGTTTTGGGAAAAGGTTTCATTTCAAAGTTCCTAGTGGTTTNTGCTTGGGAAAGTCCTCCAGCTCCACACTACTGGTCTTGAACTTAAACTACTTCTGATCTACAGTTTTTAAAGGTGTTTTGGGAAAAGGTTTCATTTCAAAGTTCCTAGTGGTTTTTTGCTCAACTGAAGATGGAGACCCAAATTCACCCTAGACGTCTGACAGGGTCTCGTTTGGGAGAGTGGGGGAAGTCCTGAGTACAGAGGAAAAGAAGTGGGGTTCACCTATGGGTCAATCAATTTGAAGAGATGCAGCAGCAAGAGCACGGCTGTTTTTAAAAAAAAAAAGAAAGAAAGAAAAGCTGTATGGAAGAGCAGACACCCCCGAGCAGCACAGACTGCTGCTCTAAATGGAAACCAGAGAGGGGAGGCACTCCCATCATCCACAGAAATTCCTGGGAGAGGCACCCTTTCTCCACATGCATCACAGGGAAATGTGAACTCAGAGAAGGAAGACTTGTGTCACCCGAGTTCTGATTGTAAGACATCACAAGCAGGTTACCTCTGTTTCCAAAACCTTTTCCAACGCCAAAGCCACCAAGAGTGGAGGTACTCTCCCTTTTATGAGACTCGCCAGCATCTGCAAAAGTTCACAGTTACAATTCTTTAACCTATAGCTTTAAGTACGTCATAAAAAGTAAAAATTAAAAGAATCTTGGGGACTTCCAAGGATAGGGAGAGTAGTATAGAAGCTTATAAAGATGTAATTAATATGCCCCAACTTCTTTTTTAAAAAACCTCTTAAATTATGATACCAAGGTGCCCAGCTGGGCATGGCTCAGCGGTTGAGCATCAACCTAGGATCCGATTCCCAGTCAGGGAACACGCCCGGATTGTGGGCTCGATCCCCAGCTGGGGGCGTGCAGGAGACAGCCAACCAATGACAGCTCTCTCATCATTGATGTTTCTATCTCTCTCTTCCTCTCTCTGAAATCAATACAGATATATGTATTTTTAAAAATTATGATACCAAGGTAAAAACATAAATATACCACTGAAATACAGCTTTAGACTAGTTGTTATTTTACTAGTGACCTTTAACTAGAAAATTCAACTCTGACTTTCTGTATATTAAACCTCACTGAGAGAGCTACTGACACTATGCCCCTGTGTGAAAGTCACCGCTAGTGAAAATTTTATACTCTTGTCGTGTTTCTAAATTACTCTATTATTTATGCATTTTCTAGTACTTAAATCACTCTCAATCTTTCTACTTCTAAACTGAAATTAGGCAGGGGTCACATAATAAAGAAAACAAGCCGAGTGCCACTGCCCTGCACGTCCCTCCCTGACACAGATTTCCCATGTCAGCCTTCCTCGCTTCACTCCCATTCCAACTCTCAACACCCAACGTTCTAATCCACACAAACAGCTCCCCACAGCCCACTGTGAACTTCTCCATGCTGCTCCCCACGTGGCATGCCTGCATTTCTACTTTTCCTATCAAAATTCTTTTCACTGCAAAAGCCTCCTTTACAGGCCGCCTCCTTCCATGAAGTCTCCCTTTAGTGCTACAAGTCAGAATCAACCCTTCCCCACACCCCCAGCACACTGTCAGTAGCTCTTTTTACTAATATTTCTTTTCATATGTTTCTCTACCATTGCATTAAGAATTCTGAGGGCAGAGTTGCTACGGCAAGTAGCAGGGTTATTTAAAACAAAAAACTGTAACAAGACATCCAAACCAGCTAAACTGCCACTTTAAACAATCACTGGGGAAAGTTGAAGCACCGCCTTGTGATCCCCTAAACTCTCTCAGCCATCTCTGTAATGTCCTAGAACAGGGGAGTTGGGGGTCTATGAAACTCCTAAAGCCACATGCAGAACTGTCTGAGGAACTATCAATACTTTCATCACACTCTAAAGATGTGTGTGTTTGAGAAGTTAAGGCTATTTAGGCCATGCTGCACAGAACAGGAAGAGCTGATCAGTGTTATATTTTAAGTGATTAAGAGTCAATTTCAAAAACACATTACTAGCTTTCAAGTTCTGAGGGAAAATACCATAGACATTGAAACTAGCTAAAAAGTCGGATGAATCATAGGGAATGAAGTTACACTCATATGCCTGTGAATTTCCAGGATTATATGGAGTATAAAGATACCTTTTTAAAGTATTAACATTCAACAAAGAATTTTGATCAGAAGTTTAATGTGTATTTCAACCTAAAACATATGGAATTAACAATATGTAGTAAAATGTCTCAGTTATGGTTTTCTCATTTAAAAAGGCGTTATTCACCCTGTGGAGTTTGGCTCAGTGATTAGAGCATCAGCCCCTGGACCAAAGGGTCTTAGGTTTGATTGCCAGTTAAGGGCAAGCGCCTGGGTTGCAGGTTCAATCCCTGGCCCCAGTTGGGGCATGTGCGGGAAGCAACCAATCAATGTCTCTCTCTCACATCACTGTTTCTTTCTCTCCCCCTCCCTCCCTTCTATTCTCTTGCGCAAGGATTAAAAAATAGAAATATTTTAAAAATAAAAAGGCTTTATTCAACACTGTTTACAGCCTGCATCAAAAAGTATCAAATAACCTATTCTAGAATAGGATTTTAAAATATATCTAAATATTAAATGTTCCTTTAACTGTAATATGAAAATATGTATTATTTCTAATGTTAGTAACAGCAAACACTTGAACCTCCTGGCAGAACTGCATGGTCCAAATCATCAATTCCTCTCACTTAACACGCAGGCTTAAAAACAGAGTATGTATGCCTCTTTAAAGAATAAATTATTTCCATCAGTAGCAGCAACAGAAAATTCACATTTGTGTTAACTGTATCTAAACAAGAAATTAAGTTTTCCAAATATCAAATGAAATACCACACATAAACCAACCTTTAGTTTCCAATGAATAAAACTATCTAGAAATAACAATAGTGTTTCAAAGAATAATAGCTAATAAATTCAATAACAAGTGTTACATATATTTAAAACTACCAATTAGCCCTAGCTTATGATATCCCATTAAAAAAAGAAGTGGTCATATGTATTTTAAATAACTTTAACTTGAGATTCTAATACTATTTTATTGCACTATAAGAAACCACAGTGAAGAATATTTTCAGCATTTTATTATCAAATCTAAAGATGGACTTCGGGAGGATATTCTGCTGTCATTATCTGTCAGATCAAGTTCTGGTTGTTCTAAAAGTAACAATAAAGAATTTCAAGCTTTGAAAAATAACTCCTTAATGCGAATGGGGTAACATAAATGCTTCCCATGCTGCCTTTCCTGAGAATATGAAACTTAGGAAGGAGGTCCTTCCCGCCCCAACTCTGGAGCTTTCACAATCCTCCCATGCCAGCTGGTAGAATTCAATAGTCATAAACACATTAAGAAGCCACTCTGTGAAACAACTATCTTTACCCAATCTATCTAAGCAATGAAACTACTTCGTACTATCCCAAAAAAGTAAACCAGGAAAAGGAACAATGGCATTGGAGAAGAGGATGACCCCCTCACCCCAAAAGCACCTACGGTGCACCAAGCGAAAACACACCTGGCTGTGCACTAACCAGCCACACAAGCCTCTATCCAGCCCACTGTTCACAGCTGGCAAGGCTAAAGGAAGACACAGCTACTTACCTCTGTTTCCCAAACTCCTCCCAGAGGCAAATCCGCTCCTCAGGAAATGATCTCTTCGAGAAGGTCCATCATCCATTTCTAAAGCAAATGACAATGTGAAGCAAATCAAATAACAAGCATCTTGGTGGTATGCAAACTTCACACCTTCTCAATGTGCCCACTCATGTGGCAAAGGCGGGATTTTAATGAGTGAGACACATAGCCTATTGAAAAATGGGCTGTGAATAGGTAGTTCTCCAAAATAAAATTAAATGGTGACCAAATCTCACTCATAATTAAAGAAATTGGAAATCAAAAGAGGAGATCCCTTTTTCAACCATATGATTGACTAGGAAGCAGTTCCAAGTTTGCTAATACTGAAAACAGTCAAGGGAAACAAGTACAAATCACACAAAATATTGAAAGCTATAAACTGGGTTGATCTTGATCCTGATTTTTAAAAAATACATTTTTGGAAGAAGAATAGTATGAATTTCTCCTCTGGGTATAGTCACATGGTGACACAGATGCATAAAGGTGTTTTCATAAGCACTGTCTGTATTAGCAAAAAGAATTGGAGAACAGGTGAACTACGGTCATCTTGTAGTCACCTACAGAACACTGGGCACTTTCACTCAGCAACAGAGCATCCAACAGTAAGAACTGATGCTTATAGAAACTGACCATGCGGGAGGTCACAGTGCAAATCAACAACAAATTTCAAACACCATCATCAGACACAAATTCTCTGATCACAATGAAATCAAATGAGAAGTCATTAAACACAAAGTTTAGCATCCTCTTACATTTGGAGATGAATTTTAAAAACACTTCTACATCACCTACAGCTCACAGAAAAAAAGAGAAATTGGAACTTTAAAACTACTTAGGATTGTACGACAAAAATGTTAATTATCAGTACCAAAATTTTTATGCTAGAAAATAAGAACTCAAAATTAATGAGCTAAATGGCCATCTCAACTAGAAAGAATATTTGAAAACAAAACAAAACATATCACACAAAAGGAGGGAAAAAGAGCAGTAATTAACAAACTAGGAAACAAACATATAATAGAGTGACTCAACAAAACCAAAACCAGGTTCTTCAAAGTCACCAGTGAAAACCTGCCAGTAACAGGTCACAAGAAAACCGATTGGGAGGGGGGCAGAGGAAGAGCAAATGAGTATTAGCAAGGAAAGGGAAAGGAAAGAATCTCAAGAATGATGGAGCTGCAGCTCAGAGAGTATAACGTTTCCGCCGTGCGAGATGAAAGGGCCCGGACCTACAGTACGACACTGTACCTACTCAACTACATCGTACCACACACTTGGAAGCTTGTTAAGAGGATATATCTCACGTTATGTGCTTTGTACCACAGTAAGAAACAAGCTGTCCGTGGCATTTTTTAAATTATTGATTTTTAGAGAGAGAGGAGGGGGAGAGAGAGAGAAAAACATCCATGTGAGAGACATCTGACACACCCTGACGGGGGATCGAACCCGCAGCCTTTTGGTGTACAGGACGACACCCCAACCAACCGAGCGACACCGCCAGGGTAAGGACAGGTGAACAAAGGAAAGCAGGGCAGTATTTGTGATAAACATGTATATAATACGCCAGCAAAATACAATTTTGTATGTGGGAATATATGCAGAGATCTAAAAAATTGGAGTCAACGCACTGTTCCTGGTGGTTAAATCTGGGGCCAACATTTCAAATTTCTTTTTACCTCTGTATTTTTAAGTTTTGTTTGTTTGTTTTTTTGTTTGGGAGTTTTGCAACCATATTTAGGTATTGATTTAGTATACATTCATTGGTCTGATATGTGTCTCTGTAATAACAAACTTTCATTAAAAGAGCTACAAAAGTTTGTTATCCAGAAGAAGGTAAGCAGGCAGTCTGTATTTTTCATTACCTGGTTCCACTTTGTTAGCCTGAACATTTGGAGGTATAATGCTAAGGAAAGCCCTGGCTTTTAGTTGGTGGTTCTTTCAATCCAATTTCTTGAAGATTTCACCACAAAACAAATGTTATGCTTTAATATTCGATAAAAGTACGCTTTCATCCCTTTACAGAAACTGACTTCTATCTGACACTTCAAAAAATGAGGTATTTCCCAATTACACAGTGATCTACACAAACAGAGGTGTGAGAAGGTGCAGCACACAGTGTGCACGTAGTCCGTATGGTGGAAGCAGCCAGCCTTTCCCTCATGTCAGCAGGCAGCAATGCCATGAACTGTCACAATCTGAATACTCTGCATTACACCACAGCATTTACATGCTTATGAAAGGTAAATGCATCTTGACAACAGCAAAGGCATCTCTTCTACATTAAACGTCTATCAGGAGAATTACTCTGAACTTCGGTGAACCTGGGAATTAAACCGGCTTTAACCTGATGAACTCCGACTACCTCTTCACAGGGCTTCAGGACAGGCTTCTGTGAGCCTGTTGCTTCTGTGACCATAAAATGTTTCACCTTGTCCGCTCATCTTTGATGAGAGAAATGATGGAACTCTGTGGTGCCACCACCAACCTTGCACTGCAGTAAGACTTAAGTAGCAGTTATACAAATTTAGAGACTTAGCAAATTCACAGTAACTCAAATTCACAGAAGGAAGCCTGGGGGCTGGCAGGGGCAGGGAATGGAGTTACTGTTTAATGGGTATGAAGTGTCAGTGAGGGAAGATGAAGGTTCCAGAAGTGGACGGTGACGGTTGCACAGCAACATGAATATGTGTATTTTCCACCCGCGGTTTGGAATCCAAGGATGTTGAGGGCTGACCATATGCACTGTCCTATGCTGTTTTATATACAGTGGTACCTGGGTTTTCGAACATCTCTGTTCACGAACATTTCGGTTGACAAATGCTGTAAACCTGGAAGTAAACACTTCGGTTTTCAAACATGCCTCAGAAGTCAAATATGCCACACAGCTTCTGCTGAGTGCAAGATCCCGAGGCCTAGCTGTCGGCTGTTGATCCCTCCGTTTTAGAACATTTCAGAACTCAAAAGGTCTTCTGGAACGGACTACATTCGAAAACCGAGGTACCGCTGTAAGGGACCTGGGCATCTACAAATTTTTGACCATGCCTTGTTCAAGGGTCAATTGTGCCTAATGCCACTGACCTATCCACTTAAAAATGGTTTAAATGGTCAATTTTATGTTACATTCTAATAGAGTAGAAACAGCACTTCAGCTTGCTTTGGATTTCAAGAAAATGAGAAGCCACTGGCACGCATTAACCTCTGAGCCGAGCCCAGTCACTCCACCATCTCTCCATCCACCCCAATTGGTAACACACTCGGGAAAGCCAGCGGGAACGAGTGAGGGGACAGCAGCTGTCCTATCCCAGCTTTGCCTTTTATTGTCCCAGGACCTTCCTGCATTCGTTTATGGACATCAGAGAAACTCGTAACATCCTGATGGAATGGCCAGTTTGGTTTAAACCATTGTTATCCTGACAGGTCACCACCACTGCAATCGGCTTCACCTTTACAGTCCGAAGTCCTGCTCCCTTATGCCAGGGACCCTGGCAAGTCCCTAAGCAGCCTGAAAGCCAAACATGCAGCAGCCAGACTGGGCAAAGGTTTCACGGCAAAACCACTAATCAAAACTGTCTATAGCACCATACTCTCTGCTCTCTTCCTTCTCTAACTGGAAGTGTCCCCATCCCAAAATATCCCAGTAAATCAGAATTCTCACTAGGGAATCTTTAAACGCCTCTACAAGATGTCTACCAGGCAGCTCCCCATTCCTAAAATGAAGCCTTAATCTGAAAGGGCTCCACCGTTCTGCCTTAACACATACCTGACGATGGAACCGGAGTCCTGCTGAAAGTGTCTCCATTTGCTCCAGAAGAATACCTATCCTGTGAGAACGAAGAAAAGACTCGTTTTCTACACTGAGTAATAAGAGGATGTGATCTACTTCACAGGTACTACAAAATTTTAACTGGGTTTTGTTCAGAACAAAACTGTGGTCAACTGCAAGATTTCCTGGGTCACTGATGTTCCTTTATCAATTACTCCTAAACCTTCACACTAGCATTGTATGCAGAGCGTATTAACATACCACTTAGGCCCTGGCTAGGAAGCTCAGCTGGCTAGAGCATCATCCCCATATGCCAAGGTTGCAGGTTTGATACCCAGTCAGGGCACACACACAGTCAACCAATGAATGCATAAATGGGTGGAACAATAAACTGACATCTCTCTCTCTCTCAAACCAATAAAAAATAAATAAAATAAAATCATAATCAGCAAACCACAGCCATGAGCAAATGTGGTGAGCCACCAGTTTCTGTGAATAAAGCTTTATTGGACACAGCCACCCTCACTCATCTGGGTTTGTCCATGGCTGCTTTCGCCATAAGACGACCACAAAGCTGTGACAGGATGTAAGGTCTGCAAAGTCTAAATTATTTACTATCTAGCTTTTTATGGGAGGAGTTTGCTGACACCTGAATTGGAAGTTCAACCACCCATATATTTGAAAATTATAATCAAATACTACTACATAAATAAAATCTGACGGGAGTAATACATGAATTTAGCAATGCCTGAAAATGCACATCATGTACAGAGCTGGGCATTTTGCACTGTACTCATTAGCACTGCACAGGATAGAGCAGAGCAGAGATGGAGAGCAGTGGAAAGCAGCTTCTACTGCAACTTACTCTAAAACTTCTACTGTGTTTATATAAAGTGAAACAAATTAATGTTTATATCCTTTAAAAAGAAATTCACTCTCCAGTAAATTCACTTCAAACTCCTAGCGTGTCCTGATCATCAATCCAGTCCTTTCTTTCCTCTCACTTAACCTTCCTCTACTTATGGCAAAACATTCAGAACAGAGCTCTGAAATTCTTGCACAGAGCTCTGAATTCTGAAAAATCAGAATTCAGTAAAGATGAAAGGTGACCTAAAGCATACAGGTGACCCCTTGATTAACTGACTGCATTAGGACAGTCTCAATATTTCTTCAAATAAATTCCTCTAACAACCCAAAGCTGAAGGGTAACACTTGTTTTCTAAAATTTCCTTCACAAAAGACGCTACTGGCTTGAGAAACTACTTTTATGAAGCTTGAGTATCTTTCAACTGTTTTCCTAAGGTCAGAAAGACAACAGCATCCTTGATAGGCCTGGGGCTTTGGGTACAGTAGAGTATCAAAATATGACACCACATCTAGAAAAACAGGCACTTGGCACCCTTGTGATGTCCTACAGAGAAGTCATACGGCAGTACCAGAGGGTCTGTAGGTTGCACACTTTGGTACCAGATAAGTTTTTTTTCTTTATAAGAAAGACTAAGAACTCCACACTGCACAATAATTCCTCCCAGGGTTTTAACTTTTATTTTCAAAACCAGGTCCAATGAGCTTTCTGAACAGCTGGTGTAGCTACAGTGTACTACCGGAGAAACCAGCTTCCTTCAGAGGGCAGTGCTTTTGGCGGGGAGGAGGAAAATCTCTTCATACTTGAACATTTTCTAATTATTTATTGTATTCTGGGGTATGGCGTAAGTACAGAGAAGCCATCACCTCAGATGGCAGCTTTTAAAAGATTTTTTTTTCCCTCAACACCATAATTCCTCTAATGTTTCCAGCATTCCCAGGTAGGCCAAGGCGTCCTACAGAAAAACCTTGGGTTAGACCTACAGGGGTTCGGGCTGGCGTTCACAAGGGAGGGCAGAGCTGGCGCGGCTGGCCATGGAGAAAGCTGCCTTGGCTGGTGTGGTATAGAGAAGCCAGCTTGTTTACATGCTTACTCCATGACTGCTTGCCCCAAGCAGAAAGTGCCTTTCAGGATCTATTTTTGGAGGTTTATTACGTATGTCTGGTTCTCAATTCCGACAATTTAATGAAGATCTAAATAAAATGCCAGGTTCTACCTTAAAAAAAAAAATGACACCACAGACATCAACACAAAAAAGTGAGCCAGATTTCCCTTTCCAAAGTGAAACCCTGAAGGCTTTTTTCTCTTCTTGTGGCCAAAGCATTACTGGGTAAATAGAGCAAAAAGAAGGCTGGTTTTGTAAGTGCTATAAAGCTGATAAAGGTAATGACACACTGGCACTGAAGAACTGAAAGCTGTATTAGGTGACCTTCAGGTTGTGGAACTTGATATCCCACATACATCGAACCTACAAATTTCAAGGCAAATTCTGAAACAGGACATCAAAAAGTTTTTTTCAACATAATCATTTCATCATAAAATTCTTACCCTTTTTCATTACCATAAAAAAAGCTAACTTTAGCTCTGGCCGACATGGCTCAGTGGTTAGAACATCAACACGTGCACCAAAGGGTGGCGGGTTCGATTCCAGGTCAAGGGCACGTACCTGCGTTGCAAGTTGGATCCCCGGCCCAGGTAGGGGCACATGTGGGAGGCAACCAATCCATGTGTCTCTTTCAATCCATGTTTCTCTCTCTCCCCCTCTCCCTCCCGTTCTAAAAATCAATGGAAAAAATGTCCTCGGGTGAGCATTAACAAGAAAGAGCTAACTTCCTATTCCCCTCCAGCTCCCGCACACTCCCATTCTTCCTTCAAGCCCCCGAGTCTGGCCTCCAGCCTAGCTCTGCGTGGAAAATGCTCTCAATGAGGAAGTGCTGCAAGAGAGGAGAACATCGCACTTTTCCCAGGGAAGCCCTCAGCAGCGTCTGAAATGACACCGTTTCTTCCTCTCGACAACATTCTTCTCTTGGCTGGAGGAGCACACACCCTGCGGGTTTACTGCCTGTCCCACTGAGCCCACCCTCCCCCCTCAGTCCCTTCAGCTGGCTCCTCCTCCCCGATCTCTGAAGTTGGGATGTGCTAGAGCTAACAGCAGAGCCCTCTAACTTGTACTCTACTGAACTCTACCCAATCTCATCCCTTTAAGTCCCATTAATACACATATAACTTCCATAATTATATCTAGAATCTGATCCTGCTCCTAAGCAACAAATTCATATTATCTACTGACTGGCATCCTTGCTAGCATGTTTCACAGGTATCTCAAATTGAACAAAATAAATAGAGAATTCTTAAAACTTTTCCTCCCAAACTTGTTCATCTCCCATAGAGTCCCTCTCAATAAATGGCAACACCCATCTGGCTGCTTAAACTGAGAAACCAAGCCAGCACCCGGGGTTCCTCTTTCATGCCCATGTCCAGCCCAACCCGTCTAATCAACTCTATGTCCACAACTATGGCCAGGTCCCTCCTTTGGTCTCACACAAATTAAAGTCCCAAAATACAGACAATACCATCCTCCAACCCTTCTTCTGATTCACTGTTCGTAGCCAGATCAGCCCCATTCACGTCCCCAGCTGAAGTCTGGTTCCTTTGTCAGCTTCTTCAGCAACTGCTGTGTGAAACTGATGCTGCTCCTTCAGCACCATCAGAGCTGGAGAACTCCGACTCTGAGTCTCATGTGTGTCACACACAGACCCAAAGTTCCAGCAAGCTATCAGGTTACACAAGAAATTTATAATAACCAAAATTTAGAAATTTAGAAATAACCACCAAAGCCCAGAAACAAATGTGACTGTTGCAAGAGCTTATAATCTAAGCCCTAATTTCTGTGTGAAAGCATTTTCCAAATAAGATTTCCCCAAACAAAAGTATTTAACAACCCAATCTAGACTCACGTTGAGGTCATCAATGACAGGCTGCAACAGAAACCTACTGTAAGTGACGGCAGAGAAAAGACAGAGGATTCACTTTTCTCTAACTCTGGACCAGCTCAGCCAACATCTCTGCCACCGCTGTAGCCTTCCCCCCGCCTTCTCACGCCTTTTGTCACTCTGCCCTGGACTCCACCCTTCAGGGTTTGAGGATGAGCACACTGTCCATCTCCCACAACTTGCTCGTATTCAGCATATATGAGCTTCCACGCTCTCAATCAAGAGACACTCTATTCTCCCACAACTCGCTGAGGACTAGATGCAGAAATTGCTAGAAATCTTCCTCGGGCTCCAGCACTTCAATTTCCTTAGGTCTGTCAACTCAGTGATGTTCAAGGACCACACTTTTTTTTTCTTCCTACTTCAGAACCACAGTATGGATGTGAACAGAAGAGGTGCAGACTTTATTTTCTTATCTAAATAATTATTATAAACTTTGCTGCCCCAGCTTTATAAAATTGTAATTGTGGATGGACTAATTATTTCGAGCTATTTCCACTTTAATCCTAAGAGTATTTGCCTTCTGAAATGTGGCACAGAAAAGGCACCTAGACCAGAGAAGTGACCACTGTGCAGACTTACTGTCCTGGTCCCCAGACAAGGGGAATCAGAGCCAGCAAGCAAGCCCAAATCCTGCTTCGCTCACCACACTCATCCACTCCAGCACTCAAACCAACCTGCTTACACGCCACATGCCAGTGCCTAAGCACGGAGATTTCTGCACTACGAATGTACTCGTTAGGTTATCAACTTTTCTTCACCTCACATCTTCCACTGTTCTATCCCGAGGTGGTACACTCACTTCAAAATTTAGAACTGGGAAATTCTAGGAGCTACCAGAACAGTGGCCAATTATTCAAGTTTATATAAGCATGTGTCAACATTACACCTCCAAATAAAATCCTGAGAAGCATTCAGAAAAGGCTGACCACAGATATTAAGACGACACTAATTCAAGATGGTCTTAGAGCCGCTATAAATTTAACAAAAGGGAAACCCAGCTGTCTCTACAAATGGAAACTTGGTTGGAAAAACAATCAAAATGGTGCCTTTAAAAGAAACTAAGCTGAATAAAAGACCTCAGATTTCTCCTACATAAAAATGTCATTTAGAAAAGTCACATATTCATCCTTAGTTTCTGGAAGTTTTACTCACGCAGAGCAGGCAGAAAAGCTGTCAACCACACCATGTTCCTTCAAGTCAAATAGGCCAAATAACTACCAAAAAAACCAGCACCAGGTGTCAGGTTTTCAGACAAATGCAAAAATTTGACTACAAATTGAAACCCCACAAATATGTATAAAGAATCATAAGGAAGCCCGGCTGGCGTGGCTCAGCAGTTGAGCACTGACCTACAATCCAGGAGATCAAGGTTCGATTCCCAGTCAGNTACCTTTTAGGGTTTTTGTGCTCTTCAGTAACACCTTGTTTCATGATACTGGGAATACGAACTTGAGTACAATCTTTGTTAACAAGTCTACCTTATGATCCTTTTTTAAAAAAATATGCCGCCCAGCCAGGTGTGACTCAGCGGTTGAGCATCATCCTAGGATCCAGGCTATCAGGGTTCAATTCTTGGTCAGGGCACATGCCTCTGTTGCCGGTTAGGTTGGGGGCATGCGGGGGGCAGCCGATCAATGACTCTCTCATCATTGATGTTTCTATCTCTCTCTCCCTCTCCTTTCCTCTCTCTGAAGTCAATAAAGATATATTTAAAAAATATATGTGTTTATTGATTTCAGAGAGAAAAGGAGAGGGAAAGAGAGGGAGAGAGAGAAACATCAATGATGAGAGAGTCATTGATCGGCTGCCCCCCGCATGCCCCCAACCTAACCGGCAACAGAGGCATGTGCCCTGACCAAGAATTGAACCCTGATAGCCTGGATCCTAGGATGATGCTCAACCGCTGAGTCACACCTGGCTGGGCGGCATATTTTTTTAAAAAAGGATCATAAGGTAGACTTGTTAACAAAGATTGTACTCAAGTTCGTATTCCCAGTATCATGAAACAAGGTGTTACTGAAGAGCACAAAAACCCTAAAAGGTACATGTGAAAGGTGAGTCGGCCACACCCAATTTCAACTGCCTCATGCAACGTATACACACAACATGCTACAGTGCCCTGTGCTGTCTGAAGAACACTTAATGACGGCAAAGCCTTGGACGGAGGAAAAAAAAAATTACACAGGTGACTATTAAAGTCCGCTGGAGAAAGCGTACCTGTGAATTAAACTTTATATTGTAGGAAGTCTATTGAGAACCAGGGAGGGAAAGAACGATAAAATATCCTTTGACCAAGCAATTCCATTTTCCAAAAAAAAACAAACTCCCAAATTAAAACAAAAAATAAGCTGAAGACATTCATGACACTAACAGTGAAAAGCCAACAACACCTTCACTTCGCGGCACCGGGAAGTCAACTGCGCCGCGGCCGGTCCTTTCCGCGCTACTGCGCAGCCATGAGAATTGTTTCCAGGAAATTGGCGACATGGAAGAGGGAAAGTGGAAAAGCTAGAATCGAAAACCACGGCTGCGATCTCACAATCATTACGACCTACCTACAACCCTGTTTGGGGGAACCAAGCCCAGTCACTAAGAGCGTAACAGGAGTTCACCTGGCACCCGAGCTGGGTCCGACCCGCGCCCTTGGGCCCCTGAAAGTCAAGGGTCGCTACCTTCTCGAACACGGGAACGTAGGAGGACAGGTGCGGTGTGATGATTTCCGCCTCCCAGTCTTCATCGCCCATGGTGGATGCCCGTCCTGTTTTTGCAAAAACACAGACACGTTTGGCCTCAATTAGATCAGAACCGGGTCTCCAGCGGCACCGACGACCGCCATCTCCCCGACACCCGAAACCAGGCGCCGACCTGCCGAAGGCGCCGGAGAGAAGGGGACTGGGCTCGCCTCTTACCAGAGGCGGCACTGACGCCCACCCTTTGTGTCCTTGAAACTGGGGGCCACCTACGAGTGACCCCGCGACCCCGGGTCCCCGCCGAGCTGTTCCCAGCGTTTACCTTCCGCCAAGGGGCCCGAGCGGCGGGGTGCGGACGTTCCCGGGTCCCTTCAAAGGGCTCTAAGGCGCCGGGCTCGGGGCTCGGGGCTCGGACAAGTCTCCGGGAGCCGGCGGGCGAGGGGACGAGGGTCCCGACGGAAGGCCGAGGCCCCACCGAGCTCAACGGGCCCCCAAGGGGTGTCCGCGCTCCGCCCCCGCCGCC